AACTGCAGAAAACAAAAAGGTATTATGTGCAAATTTACCGATCTGTTCAATAAGCCACTCCCTGTGATGTCTGGAACTAGGCTGCTTCTTGGGTCCCCTCTCACCTGGATGCTGAAGATCACAATGCCCAACTACACCTCTTGAATTCACAAGAGACAACCAGTCAGCCATAGAAAAGTTCCAGATCTAGCATTAGGGCAGACTGGATGTAGGGGAGGAACCAGAGACAGCTGTGAGTTGTGGAGTCAAACAAGGAAGAAAAGAAACCACTAAAACAGTGGTAAGGAATGTAAAGCTGCCCTTCCCAGCACCTCTCCCAGCTGGCAAACCTGCTGGCGTATGTACAGTGACAATCATTGTCCACCATAAGGTAGGTGGCAGATAGCCTGCTAAGGATGGCAATGTAAGATCGAAGAGACAATACCCTAACACATTTACAGACTCAGAGGGTCCTAAAATACAGCTAGCAGGAATCAACTGACTAATGTAATAAAGTCCCTGCTGGCACCCTGCCTGGGCAGCACACTAGAGCTGAGCCTGTTGTTGGGCGCGCAGGTGAGCCAGCCCTGAGGGCATGAGAGGTGACACCATCTACCCCATGTACCCTACAGCAATCCGGAGAGAGGGCCCTGCACATTGACTGGGCAAAACAGTAGAGTAGGCCCTGGTAATGTGAATGTGGGTGACCCGGATCTGAGAGCCGAGTGCAGGAGAACTGGCCCTGCTCCTTGCTGTAGGCTGCATTGGGTGAGCTAGCTGATGCCGTGCTGAACATCTCCTCCAGGTAGTGATGATGAGGGAAAGCAAGCAAGCTGACCACCCTATCTATCACCCAGGCCCAGAACAAGGGCTATGAGTTGGCCCACCCAAACATCAACCGAATCTATGAACTGTTGGAGCATGTGAAGGGGACAAACCTACAGATCCAAAGCAGCAGGATCTCCACGACACAGGAAACAACAGGATATCCACGAGGAGTCCCAGTGAGAGCCCATTATGGGTGGAGTAGAAGGAACCAGAGCTCTCCAGCCAGACCAATGACTGACTCCAGGCAATGAACAGGCAAGGACAGACGAATGGACTAAAGGTAAACTGTGCCTCAACGGCCACACTACAGCTTCCATGACAAGGTTCTTCTTTCATCTTTGGTTTTGCTTTGTTTCTTTGTTTTGCTTGGTTTTGGGTTTTTCTTTTAAATTTGGTTTTGTTTGGTGGGCAAATCTGTTAAATTTTCTTTTACATTTGTTTCTTACAAGGTCACAGGGTGGATGTGGAGAAGACAGAAAGATAAGTGGGATTGGATTCCATGATGTGAAATCCACAAAGAATCAATAAGTGTGTGTGTGTGTGTGTGTGTGTGTATGTGTGTGTGTGTAAAATCAGAGCCAGCTGTATTCACCCTCATGCTTTAATTCTCTTGGTCCTCTGTGTTCATACAATGGTATCTCTTAACTTTGAAAGCCAGCTTTCCCATTTTCTTCTTCAATTTCTATAAAATTTTTAACTGTTCTAAGTCTCAATATCTTTATCAATAAAACGTGGTGGAGTTCATAGTGTTACCACATCCTTTTCATGGGCATGAGATAAGATAAAATACAACCTAAAATTCTAGTACACTCCTCAGCACAGGAAAGGTACTTAGAAAATAACAGACTCTAAAGATAGTTGTTACTAAACATGTAAGCATTCACTCTAGCTCGTAGCAGTTCCCAGGCTGACTTGGAATTCCAGCCTCCTTCTTGGCATAGGTGGAGGCATGCCAGCAGTAGGGACAGTGTTAAAATCTAGGTGGACTTTTACAATGTCACTTGTTCACTCTGTTTCTTGCCGCATTTGTTTCTTATTTCTTCAGCTCTCAAGTTTTTCACACTAGAAAACACTTTTCTGCCTTAGTAGCCTTAAGTGCTATCATGAGTCAGGGAACCTGGAAGCTGAAAACAAGTAAACTGGATTTTCACAGTCTTCAATATTCTCAATGGATTTGAATAAAGCTCTATGAGAGATGCATCAAGCCCTGTAAATCTATTTTTTCAATATGCCTACTGACAATCTGTGGAAGTCTGTGGATGTGTGCATGCCTCTGTGTGTGTGTGTGCACGTGCGTAGCATTGTCTTCTCTGATGGAGTTACACTTCACACAGATGACTCCACTAATTTTGAAAGATAAATGGAACCTTTGAGGTGACAAGCAAGCCTGCTTCTACTTAGGCTTGAAAGCCCCCTTACAGCAAACACAAGCTAGATTTACTCCTGTTTATAACTCAAGTTGTTTTCCAAGGATTGGGATATGTCCCACCTGTAACCTGAACTTCAAATGGTTCTGTACTATCTGTTCCAGGAAATGGTAACCTTTTATCTCAAAGGTTATTATGATTACCTGTTGTTATGACCAACTTGTTATGACTACCTGACAGCCATGTCTTTGTTTCAGAAGGCTACTATGACCAATTTGTTATGTTTGTGTTCTGCTACTGTAATCCAACCTATTTGTCCACCAAATTCCCTTTTGGACACCCCCTACTCCTCAACTATAAAAACCCTCATCTCATCTGTGTCTAATGCCGATCTCTTGAACCCCACCTTTAGGAAAAGATAGCCCATGAACACATATTAAAGAAAAAAAAGTTGCTTTGATTTAGTATTTGTTTTACTTAATTTGGCCTTAAGCTGGATAAGTGATCTTTCTCCTCAAATCTGTGGAATTAACATTGAGACCATATTCCTTTTCTATCACTGACGTGATTTTAGCTTCAGAGATTTGGTCTCTAAAATACAAGTGTTGACATGAAAAGTGTAGTCCTCAGAAGCAACGTGTGCACTGAAACGATGCTAAGGACAGCCCTGGGCCAGGAGGAGAGGGTTCATATACCCTGTATATAATAAGATTTAAACCAAAGCACCACACCAGCTAATACAATGGATAGAATCCTGCTGAGCCCTCTATTACACAAGGATGGATAGGTGCTTGCCTCTATTTTATTCATTTTTCTGGAATATCTAAGGGAAGGAAAAGTCAAAGGAAGGAAGCCAAGATTACTAATGATGCCTAGATGGCTAAAAATGCCCAAACCTAAACAAGTATCATTCTCATATATGACCTAGTATAGAAGCCTTAGGTTAGATTCAGCCACTTGTATCTCTTCTTGTTTGCCTCAGCTGTACTATAATGTGAGCTACTCTTAGCAGGCCAATACATCCCTAAGATAAGGTGCACCGAGAATGGACATGAAACGCTGATGTAAAAGTTACACTTGGATTTTCAAAGTTGAGAGCAAAACTGAAAGTATATCAAAGGTAGAGGAAAGACAAGATCTCTTTCTGAATCCATATCACCCGGGAGTTGAATCACTAGCATATCCATCACCCTACTGCAACAAGACTGCCTAACAAAGCATTCAATTAACTCAATGGCTTCAACTTGTACTGCAGGTAAAAGTCACCTGCCTGGGGCCTGTGCACTGCAAAGACACACTCAAGGCAAATCTTGACCATTCTTTGAACCAGACTGCCTCTCCTATGTTCTACTAATGAAGACATTCTGAAGCTATCAGTGGCATAAAGTGCCTTCTTACTGAAGCTTAGAGGTAACGTTGTTAGGACTACCTGCCATTACAAAAATTCAGGGCTTTTTAATTCTTGGCAAATCTGGCCCTTTACACTAAAAAGTTCCCGAGCAGTTGAGCTTAGATGACACATATTCAGTCTTGTCACCTTCAACTCTAATTGCCACTGACTGTCACTGACTCTACACATGTGAACTAGACACTAATACCCCCTCCTCCCCATTATCTTAATCCAAGACAAAATCCGTTTTATACCACAACTCATTCAATAGTTCTTACTCAGCCACCTGTGTTCAATATGGGCTCCCTCCAATCTAGTTCTATGCACTAAACTTTGTAAAACAAACTTTCTTAGACATCCTCCACTCGCTTTCACTTTCCCTAAAATAAAAGCTAGGTTCTGTTCCAAGGTCTGGAAAACTTGTATAGTTTTCCTCTCCACCAGTTTCCTCCCGAACCGTTCTCATCTGTGCTCCTGTCTCTTTGAACATCAGATCAGTTCAGAACCAACTCCTTCCCAGTGTGAGAAATCCTGGGTCGGTTGGTTTGTTTGTCTGCTTTTGCTGCTTTGTGGCTGTTCATCCTGTCTCTCGTGCACAGACCTTGTCTGGACTCCCCCAGTCCTTCAGTGTTAGGCTAAAGCGCCGTCTTTATTAGAACGCTCTCCTGTTTGCGCTGTCTAAGTAGTTATCCGCCCTTTTTCCATTTGCTCTCTGCAGCTCTGCACTGTCCGTCCCTCTCTCCACACTCAACTATCATGTGTAAGTGTTTATTATAAGTTATTGCTTTTGTCTTCTTCTCGCACAAGAGAGCTGAACTTCAATGACGAGAAACTCATCACTTATACTCATCAAAGTGCCCACAGCATCAAGCATGACGCCCAGTGCTGAACCACTTTGCAGCATTTTCGGATGAAGAGCGACATCTATTTACATATATCAAATGAGCTAATTAATGGGGACAGGGAGCTAATAAGCACTGCTGGAGGAATCCGTCTTCTCCAAGGGAATGAGTCACTCTCCTGAGGTTTATTCAAAAATCTATAATAACTGGTCATATTTCTCCTGAAGACCTTAGATGACTGAGATGGTCCTGAAGCTCCTTCATTCCACACATGATCTAAGCTAATTGTGACTGTCCATGTCCTAAGCACATCCAGCTGTTTGCTTGAAGTTGGGAAGATTTTGTAACAGTGGAAATCCTTAAATTGGTAAAATGTGCATGTCACGAAGCATTTGTCTTAAGTGCTGTCTCCTCTGCCCCACGGGAAGCTCCTGTGTTTTATCAAGTTGCGAGCCAGTTGGATCACCAACAGGCTTTCCTTAGAATCAAGGAGGAATGTGGCTTGTTCACGCCAGCCTCTACTTGCCCCTTTCCTTTGTTATCCTGGCCATGGCAGGGACCTCCTGTCAGATGGATCTTCCAGGGCTTTCTTACCTGCACAGCTCTGCTGAGGCTCCCAGTGGACTTTGATGCCCTCTCTCTGGCAGGCACGGGTGTATGCCAGAAACGACTCACAATAGCAGTTTTTATGAACTGGACATTCACACATATCTGTCACACAGGACCTACGGGTCACAAGAGAGAGAAAATATCACTTTAATTCGTCAAATTATCAAACACTTGAAATAATAGCTGTAAAAACAGGTTGGGTGGATATGTAAAAATTAGTATAAAAATTCTGTAGGCAGTCTTGGTACTTAACATCTCTGAACGCTGTGAATCACCGTGATGAGCATTTTGGTACTTAACACCTCTGAACACTCATTTCTTTGAGAGGACTATCCAGAAGAACTTGTTGCCTTGCCAACAATGTTCTAATATTCCTAATGTTCAAAGAAGTAGCCACTGCCTGTATTTGGTGACTGAGGACTTGGCATATGGTTGGAGCCACAGAGCAACTGAATATCTGATTTGACTTTATGACTATGGTTGTAAACAGCCACTGAACCTCGAGACTACCCTAGAGACAAGGCAGGTTGTGGAGCACAGCCATTATCAACGTGCTGTCATTTGCAACTGTAATAATGCAAGAATGGTCGGTTCTGCAGAGCCAAGAACACTGAGCAATTTGATAGAAGCATGAAAATCCATGGCTTTGAGGTGTGCAATTAGCATTCCTTCTTGCAAGGTCTTGCATCCCAGTCTCATCTGCATGAGGCAGGATAACACAGCCCCAAGAAAGCAAGCATTTCTGATGCTTAGTTAGGTCGAGCAAGGAAGAGGATTGAAGTTGAAATGTGAAAATGAATGACCAAGATATCAATTAAGCTGAAATGTGTTTAAAGGCAAACAAGTTCTTAAACATCTCAACTAGAGAGACAGAATAATGAATTTGCATCAGGATAGAATATAACAGATTACAAAATGCTTTGGCAGATTGTCTGTCATAGAATAATAAACAAGGCCCGCTGAGTAGAGCTCCAGCGTTCTAAGTGAAGGTTTGTTTTACTCCAGTAAACAGATGTGCTCAAATTCATACTCATAAGCAGGGAAAGAACAAATCAAAGTCTGCTTCCTGACTTTGAGCACACTCTCCTTGTTATATCATGCTAAAAGCCTCGCCTCTATAGGCAAATGAACCTCTCAACAATTTTGAGTTGACGTTTATGTAAGAGAACTCCAAGATTAATAAAATTAAGCTAATCTTAATTATTTCAGGTCTTTGTTCAGCAAGTTCATTTCTTGCTGAACCAATTTCAAGGCTGAATGAATAAAAATAATCAAGATTTTCATGATACATATGAACACGAAAAGTGCTTGGGCCATGGCTATCCAGAGTCAACACACAGATGTTTCTCGTGGTATGGAGCACGTAATCTATGGGTTGTAGACAAAGGTCACTTAATACTGGGTACTACTTGGTATGCTATCTGGTTATGATTAAGAATGATAGAGCAGAAACTATATTTTAAAAATCTATAGTAGTGCAGTACACCTGGGTAGTCCAACATTCAAACAAGCAGTCTTGAGAAATGAGACTAACGGACAAATGAGACACAGGGCAGAAACAAGAAGAGCCTTTTGCACATCACTGATGACTATTGCATTAGATGCAAAGGCAACAACTGAGAAATGAAGCTCTCTCCTTTCTGGAGTGATCAAAGCTGCATTTCTTCATACTTTAACTGAGCTTCACTACAGCAATCCTGTGGAATCATATTCCAGAAAATGTATCCAGGTTCTGAGTGCACATGTCTTTGGGATGAATGATACATCTAGATTTCCAAAGAAAAGCCAGATGAATCTCGTTCTTAGAGTAGCCACTCCATGTTGCCTATGCATCCTCAAGGACCTCATTTCCTTTCATGTTTCAGTGTTCATTCCAGAAAACGCTACATTTATCCACTTCACACTCTGACTTTACAACCAGCCTTGCTGGCAGTTCTACCTCTACTGTCATTCCTGCTTTAGGCCTTTCCCCTGTACGCACACCTCACTGGCAGGGACCAGGTAGAATGACATCTCACGGACCTGGTAAGTGATGGAGTTATGTGGAAATGGCATGGGTCAAATAAAGATTCCTATTTTTCAGCAGGGAAATTGTACACCTAAAAGAGTAGCCGTGATCCATGTGAACAGAGACTTCAGATACAAGGATTTTCAGAACAATGGACTCTGAGAAAAGAGGCAATAACCTACACTGTCCACAACAGGGACCATTTAAACAAACTCTGGTGTCAGTCCAATGAAATGCTCTACAGTCATTACACTGTTTTGGGAATATTAAAATTATGGAAAATATTCAGGGTAGATTAACAGGGGGCAAGCAGTATAAGATTTGATATGGTATAATCACAGAAACAAAATAAATTAAAACAGATATGCCCAAGTGTTCATAATGGTCTGCTTGGGATGGAGAAATTATAGCTCTCATTATTTTTTTAACTCTTTACAATTAATGCATCTTATGACTAAAAAAAAAATTAAAAGCAGCATGCATTTGTATTTAAATCACAATTTAGGAACTAGAGTTGCAAGATAAGGTAAGCAATCAGAGAAGTTCACAGTGTTCAACCTATTTATTGGTCTTAGTTTTTTAAATAATTCCACTAAAATATTTCTAGTCTATATTGCAACTGCCGGTAGACTTTGATTAGATTCACTTTGTATCACCCTCAACTTCTCTCCTGATGCTATGAACTTGACATCCAGACAGATGGAACAGATAACCAAATAATTATACATACTTTTGCTGGTTACAAAGGAATTTATGACCAGAAAACTAAAAGCATATTGAAATACACTTTAAATCATCTTCAGGAGGGGAATGACTGTTGCTCAATTGTTCCACTCATGTTCAACACACATAATAATTCAGTACAAGAAAAATGTAGTTTATGACATGTGGCACTGTACTGATAGGCATTTCTTGGTGGTTACTATCATTTCTTTAATTGATATGCATCAATATCATATATACATATATGTATATACATATATGTATATATGTTATATCTTAACTAGCAAGACTTTAATAAATTTTAGTGTTGCTGTGATTTATAGATTTTATATATCTGATTTTACAACATTCTCTTGTCATGATTGTTTTCTAATAAATGAAGAGTTTGTCAAGAGACTTGGCTCTCATTGTGCCAGCAGGAAGACCGACTGCTTACACTGAGCTTTGCCAGAAAGGCTCTGACAGTTGAACTACCTGACCATTCTTCAGGTTTTCTCTGTAAAGGACTTAGCAACAACAGGGATGTAGAGGACAGAGAGGGGGGAAAGATGCCAAAGTTTCTAGAAAAAGAGAAAACAAATTCATGTAGTACTTCTAAACTCTTAAAGGGAGATTTAAACTCTCCTGCTCTGGCTTCTCTCCTAGAGGAAATAGACTAAAAATAAACGTTGGGTCTGTCAACATCCCAGCCAGCAGAGGAGGAACCAGCCAAAGACCAGGCATCATCAGGAGGCCCCTTGCTCTTGGTCTGACAAGATAGGGTCTTGGAAGGTCAATGCTCTGAGATTAAAAGCACTCCAGGCCAGAATCCCAGATGTTGTTCCTGGGATGAGGAAGCCCCCAGTGCCAGCTGGCTTCCAGCTTGAACACAATCATCAATGGGACAGAGACTTGAGTTAATCTTGAAGATGCAATCATCAAGGTTCCAGAAACTGCCAGCTGCATTCATCAGTCCTGACTAAAACCTTCCTTTCCAGAGGAAGTGTCTCCCATAGACCCTTGGGAAGCTCAATACCCAAGTGACCTTAAAACCTGTTCAAATGAGCAGATAAATAAGAGTTTTGCTGTTGCTCATCCTCTGCTAAACGCCATGCCTTGCTAGTCTGTCTTTTGTCCAGGGACGTTTGTGTGTTTACTGGTCTCTGACTTACAATATGGAAATGGAAATTCCTTGCATGGACCAAAGGCAATGCAAAAGGTAACTTTGGGTGAGTGAACTCCTACCCTGTTCCAGAACTTTCTGATTTCCATGGTGGGCAGCTCTTCTTGAAGGGGTCTCTATGAATTGATTACAACAGCATATTAATCTCGCCAAAGCTAGTTTCTTCATCTTAACTTAGGATGCTAAGTGGGTATTTTCTTAAGGCCTGGCTATGAAGTAAACTTCAAGCCATGTCGATACCACCATCCTCTCTAGCAAGCAGCAGCTCTAGATTGGAGATTCCAGTTGTCATGGTGAAGGGGTTACACCCATCACAATCTCAGTAGTGGTTGTGGAAGCCTCAGACCTTGTGTGTCTAACTTCTGTCTTATTATCTGCTGTCAAGTAGTCTGCTCAGCTTCAGATGATCCTTCAGCAGTCTGATTCCATGGATTTGTGTCTCTTTGATCATCCTCCAAGGCCTGCTAAGTACCAAGAGTGGTACTTTTTAAACCCTTTAATGCCCATATCAACCAGAAGCAGTTCAGATGAACTTGACTTCCAACTCCTAAATGATTCTGAGTTCCAGTTCTTAATGGGATTGGTTAGATACCCAGTTTGATTTAGCAGGATTTAAAGCCATTAGGGCTTCACCCCCTTTCATAGTTAATAATTTGTAACAATCAAAGACTGCAACTATAGGACTTGAAATACTACTCAAAATAATAGGGTCTGGATCCCTGACCCAGGTTCACTAACAGATAACCCTCTAAGCCTTATAAGAATACTATCTAGCTGGAGGTTTCTTAAAGAACAAAGACTCCCCGTGTAAGACTCAATTCAAATGGACCTGTCAATCAATTTCACAAAAAAACACCCCCAAAAAGTTGTCTACTTTGAGTGTGGATCGGCATGATGGTCCTTTTGGACACTATCTACTCTCACTCCCTGAGAGTGCTTGCTCTCTTTACTCTGCAATAATCTTCTACACACACACACACACACACACACACACATTATCTACACAAAACATATATATATGCACATTTACATACATATTATATTTATGAAACAAATAAAACAACAAAGGAATTGGGCATCAAACATTGTCTTTACAATGTACTTTGCATCCATTACATTCATCATTTGTAGTGTATATAGAAGTAGTTTTTTCTGATTCATCCACCTGGCTCCTGGTATGTTCCTGCAGGTTCTGTGTGCATGGTTCACACAGTCAATCAGCA